ATCATTTATGAAATCACCAGCATGAGAAATAAATTTACAAGCATTGATCAGCATCCATAGAAGCAGAGTGAGTGAAATAGTAATATGCAGATGCACAAGACCTTAGTTCTCAAAATGGTTGATATCAGCTCCTGGGATCCCTGTGTAGGGTTCAAAGCCCTCATATTTTGGGGAAGTGAAGGGGAGAATAAACCCACTGCCTTACCAACCAGTAGAAGGTAAAAGGCACCTAACTGGGGTTGTTGCTGAAATCAGATGTGCTGAGCCAAATAGTGCAGATATTGCAGTCTAGCTGTAAACCAAAACACGCCAACTGCCATGTTAAGGTTGAATGCAGAAGACAAGTTCTTGTGGAAGTATGGGAGGGGGTGATGAGAATGAGGGAAGCTCTGACTTGTCGAGAGCGCATAACTCTTCTGATCTGGCAGCTTCTGCATCAGGCTTGGTTCCAAATGCCTTGGTGTTACCTTTCCTTTGGAGCAAACAATGCAGTCTAGGAGAGAAATCATGCTGCATGGGCAACATACGGTCTTTTCAATACTGCCCAGCCTTTGTGCTATGGAGATGAGGAACTTTTCTAAATGTGAGTGGGTCCTGTTAGGTTAGTGACACTTATCTTCACCCATGGGCTGTGGTTCCAATGCATCACTACAGTACATTATAACACTATCATCTGGTAAGATTCTTCTTCGCGATCATCAGCTATAAAGTCTGGCAGAAAGTTTTGGTTGTTCATCCACTTCTGGACTGCAGTCCTGTTCCAGAACCTGAGTGTTGTGTGTGCATCCATTTTACAGACTGACTCATTTGTATGCAGACTGCCGGTTCCTTACCTCTCAAGCAGATGCACTCAGACTCTGAAGGAAGCTCCCAATCAGTCTACTTTTACGACATGCTTTTGGGTAGGCAGTGGGTCTGTTTTTGTTTTCCTTATAATAGGACTCTGGAACCCACACAGGGAAATTGTTCACAGAGAATCTGGTCAGATTAATAAGTACCAAGAACAATGTTTCATTTTTGTTTTAAACTGTAGACTTACACAGAAATATAGATTGCTGCATGTGGCCTCTTGCAAATTGTGACAGTCTGTTTTTCACTGTCTGTCCCATGAGTCGGTCTAAACTAATTTCTACCCAGTGTCTGTGTCAATGTTGGTATCTTTTAGGTTGTGTTTGCATTTGTCCTTACAGCAGAGCTCTGGCCTTTTTTTTTTTTTTATCTTTCCCCTGTTTCCAGTACACTATACAGGACATCATCTGGAATGTGATCATCCTCCATCAGAGAGACACGTCCCAAACAGCGCAGGCATCTCTGCATCACTGGAACATACACCGTTGTCATTCCTGCACTTTTGAGTACACATGATACACAAGAACATGTCTCATTCAGCACATGAAGAAAGTATGAGTCGTTTTCCTTGAGAAGCGTACACAGTCCAGGTTTCACTGTCCTAAAGGAGTGGGCTGTGGATACAAGCTTCATAAACTTGAATCCTAGTTCTGTCCATCAGCTTTTTGTTCACCCACACTCTGACTGTGAGTTTGGAAAGCATTGCAGACACCATCCACGGTTATCTATGTAAATATTATGAAGTGAAGCCCCAAACTCTTCCAAGGCGTAACTCTTTTACCACTGTTTAAATGCCACAAGGATAGGTCTTTTTCTAAACCACCCACCATGACAGTGGATGCCTGGTAATTATTGACTGCATTGTGAAACTATTTCACTAACCTCTAGGCCAGACAATATTTGTGAATTCATTTCTCATGCTATATTATTTAAACAGCCCAACAATTCACAACAAACAATTGTTAAATCAATGATAAAGCAACAAAACATAACAGTATGTAACACAGCCATGAGTTGGGGGGAAAAGGGAGGGTGGAAACAACAAAATGGAAGCACATGATTTGCAAAAGTAACTTTACACAATTACATCTCCTTGACTTATGTGTTTTACAACCATCTATACTAACTACCACAAAAATGAATAAAAATCATAGTAAATAAAGAAAGGTAACCACTGACAGGGTCAAAACGTTACCAGAACTGATGCAACAGAGAACATTTTATGTGTTTTTCATATCACATACAGTAATTATAGGTAATAGATTTTAGATTTAATTTATATGTTTATATATAATTTTTTTTAAACCCGTTTGTATAAAAATAGTCTTGAAAAATATATGTCTGAGTTACAACCTATTAGTCGGAACAAAACTGGGTTGTACGTCGAGAAGACTCTGTTATGTCATATACATAGATTTGTAGATTATTATCTCTTTCTAGTTTCATTCTGCATTAACAGTCTATGGTTAAGCATCAGCAGGGAAATCAAAATTAAAATTCTGAGAGCATTCATCTTCCCTATAGCAACATACGGATGTGAGTTGTGAACTATCTCCCAATCCATCAAAAAAATAAAATATAGGCTTTTGAACTGAAATGCTATAGATTTTCAGAAGAAACACTGACATTTTAAAAGATCTGAACATCAAGAATCTAATAAACAGCATCTTGTCTGGGAAGCTGAAACATTTTAGCCATATCAAGCGCCACAACAATTGTAAAAAATAGCAGAAGGCAGGGCAACAGGAAGGAGGAGCAGCAGCCGACTAACACGAAGGTGGACTCAGATATAAGTGACTCCTTGAATATGAAAGTACACGAGGAGCGAGAGCTGGCAAAAGACAGTTTCTTTCAGGCAGACCGTGACGAGAGCGACCTTCTGCGAAGGACCTGCTACATGACGATAAGTTTCATTCTAACTGTGCTCCTGGAGAATTAGAATTCAATGAACATTTCCTTGTCTGTTTGTGTCTCTTTTTTCTCCACCTCATGACACTAGCTGAAGATCTGATCATAACTGAGGCTTCAGGAATCTTACTTTTGGATGGCAAACCAACAGGGCAAATCTCATTCACACTTAAAAAAAGTTTCATCTGTGTAAAGAATCTGATATCACAACATTCAAAACAAGCCCATGTTAGCTCTGTCTCGTTCTCAAACAGCCAGTGAAGAGTCTTCATACCGATGGTACACACCACCATCTGTTTAACTACTTAATCCCCCCCCCTTCTCTTCCATGTCTTAAGTGGCATCCAGAGCCTGTAAGACACTCCCTGCTGCATCACTCTCTTCTGGTACCGGTTTTCAACATCTTCCAGTTTACCTGTTACCTTATCCTTCAAGTGAGAGATCACCTCTGCCTTGTGCAGTTGCAGTACACCCCCCAGTGTGGCCGGTCCAGCCAACTCATCTGCATGCTCATTCCCATACACACCTACATTGCCTGGGCAAAATATTCATGTTATCTGTAACAGCTACAGCAGTCTGGTGTAGCCTGCAGCCCTGTGTGGCTAAGGAATACAGCACTCCCTGCTTCATTTTCACATTCTTCTTCTTTTTCTTCTTCAGCCTCTATTAATCTTTATGACTAGACTTCTCATTCCAGTTGTTTAGTAACAAAGGAAATGGGACATCTCAAACGGGTTGAGTGACCAGAAGAGATCAAATCAAGAATGAGGTCATAGAGAAAAAGTGAGCAAAGAACCAGAAAATAAAATGATTTGCCCTTTGACAGAGAATGTGATACCATACAAGGTATGCATCAAAGGAGGAGAATGTGATACCATACAAGGTATGCATCAAAAGAGGAGAATGTGATACCATACAAGGTATGCATCAAAAGAGGAGAATGTGATACCATACAAGGTATGCATCAAAAGAGGAGAATGTGATACCATACAAGGTATGCATCAAAAGAGGAGAATGTGATACCATACAAGGTATGCATCAAAAGAGGAGAATGCCGAGCACAATGTAGACCAAGAACGAGATGGAAAGACAACATCAGAGAAACTCTACAACAGTTCAATGTATCTAGGGTCAATGCGTCCAGAGGAATAAGAAGCATAACCTTATGTCTTCCTTGATATCCAAAGCAGTAGAAGAGGAAATGAAGAAAAGCAGAAGACTATAAGTGTTGGTAAGACTGTGTGTATATTCTCTATACACCGTCTTCTTTGTCTGCCCCATGGTCTGTGCCCAGTTGTCTTTTTTTTTTAATGCAATGTGTGTGTCTGTTATCTGCCCATCTCTCTCTATGCTTCAACCACTGCAGTCTATAAGCTGACATGATGCCAGTAATTAGTGATGATTTCAACATAAGAATTTTGTTGCTTCTCACTCTCCATTCTGTGCCATTGGTAACTTTGATAGGGACAAAGATTCAGCGTAAGACTATTCTCATAAGTTTGTAATAAGGTTGGGAGTTAAAGCATCCCCAGGAATGAGGTTGGGTGTTAAAGCATCCCCAGTAATAAGGTTAGAAGTTAAAGCCTCCACAGTAATAAGGCTGGGGGTTCAAAACTCCACCCAACTCTGTAAAGCTCATTCTTCTTCTTCTTCATCTTCCTAGTGTTCACTGACTGTACATTCTGGCAGAAAGTTATGGTGTTCACCCACATCTGGACTCTTGATCCAGAACTGAAGTTTTGCATGCACATCCATTTTAGAGATCTGGCTTATTTGTATGCAAACTGTTGGTTCCTTCCCTCTCATGCAGATGCATTCTGACTTTAAAGAAACACTCCTAATTAGTCGCTTATTATGACAAGCATGTCAGAGGTGCAGTTAGTCTATTCTTTGTTCTCAAATGGAGCAGTGGAACGCACAGAGGGAGTAAAACTCATAAACATCATTTTGTCACAAAATAAAGCTGTACTGGTCAGAAAGCAATTATACTGCCTCTACTCGATATTAAACCCAGACCCGTGTCTTGCAGGCAAGTACACTAATTATACCACCCAACTCCTGTAGATAACAAAACAAACAAATAAAATGGCTTTGCTCTTAGTAATCAAGTTTGTATCAGAGCAACAAAACAGCATGCATACATTATATAAACATCATTGCACTTTTAGGTAATTAGCCGTTGTTTCTTACTGCTGGTGACTGCATTATTGCAACATGTGAGAGAACAATGACCACTTGGACTGTCATGCTTCCTGCAAACACAGTTATGGACAAGTATTAATTAATGTGTTGTGTGAATAATCTGTAAAATATCTTCTTCTGCATTTAGTCTCATAATATTTATACAAAACATCACACATAATAAATTAATCAATCAGGTGCCGTCTCCACAGTGAAGGTGGGTTGCAATGGATCTCCAACATGCTCTGTCTCTAGTCCTGGTTGTACACTCTCTCAGACTACTATCTGTCCATCTCTTGATGTTGTCCTCCCACTTGTATAATTGCCTAATTCTTACTCTCTTGCCTTCTACCTTACCCTCCAGTATGTTATGTCTTTTAATGTGGCCAAAGTATTTCAATTGTCTCTTTTTTATTTCTTTCAGTAATTCTCTTTTTATTTGTTTATTTCTAGAACCTCTGTATTTGACTGTTTTTTTCTCTCCATGAAATACAACTTATTCTTCTGTATACCCACATCTCCAGAGACCCAATTTGATTTTCTAGTTGCTTGTTTCTTGTCTATACCTATTATATAATCTGAATATATGTTAAGTATCAAACAAACATAAAGACTTACCTGGCTACTCTTGGCACCACCATCTTGGCCTGGAAAATAAAGGCAAGAAGATATATTACAAAACTTACTACACATGTGTGTGAAATTATCTAAAATGTAAGACTGAAAGGGCACAAACCCCATCCCACTTGTCTTTTGTGGCATATTCTATGAAGCCAGAATTTCTGACTCAAATGGAACTCAAAGAGTCATGTCCATTAATTATCCTCTTTGGCAGCTAGTGGCTGCTTCAATACTGTTTATTTGTTCCACAAAAAGTTAAGCATAGATAGGACATTGCAATTTGTTCATTTACCGTAACGTTCTCAACTTGTTGCTCAAGACACCTTTTGAACTTTATTTACGTCTGTGTTAGTTCATATTACCCTCCATTTTTACTGAGCACTATGAGTTGTTAATTGAAAAAAAAAAACATTCTGCATCTGTATAATTTATTTTTCTCTAAAGAAACCATTTCACACCTTGATGCCCATTTGGCCTATGATCTGGCACAACAACTTCCAATAAGCAAGGCATTAAGTTTCTTTAATGAGGCGTGGTTAGAACTAAACTAGGTTAGTAAAGCAAAGTTCACAGAATCATTGTGCAAGTCAAAAGACATTAAATCTTGTACCAAGCTTACAATATTTGAACGCTAGTGTCAGAAATGAGGATAATGACAAAAAGAATTACTTCTTAATTTTGAACATTCAATAACTGCCAGTTTGGCATGGACAGCTCTCCAGTGGATGGCAGAAGCAAACTTGCAGAAGGACAGAGAAAGATAAACAATGCATTGTAAAATGACACAGGATACCATAAGAAGAAAAGCAGCAGCAATGGAGATCACATGTGAACACCTTTTCAATCAAGAGTGATATGAAAAGGATACAGATAGACAGATGCATTAACTGGTGACTGTGGCGAGTAGAAGGTAAAAAAATAATATGATAGAATCACTAATGCAAAACTTAGAGTAAACTGGATAGGTTCCATTGAATCAATGGATGAAAAAAGAAGGTGATAAGAAGAGGACACACAATGAAAAGACCTGATAATAGCATAACCAGAAAGCCCTGTCTAAGAATCCACAGGTTATAAATAATATATGTAGAGAGAGAGAGAGAGCTAAAAAAAAAAAGGAGAATCAATTAGACGCAGAGATGAATAATATGAGAAGGACACAGAAGCTGCAAAAGTAGGCAAAAACCTACAACAGCCTGGTGTGAGATGGCTGACAGCCTATGCTCCAAAGGGACACAAAGAGTAGAAAAGGAATTATTATAATAACAAACAAAGGTTATCAATGGTTAACAAAAGCGAAATCTCCGCGTAGAAGACGCACCCATTTATGTATAAGACCACCCCTATTGTTTTAATCCTAAAATTAAGAAAGAAATAAAATATTTTTAAAACATTCCAATAAGACAAAACAACCACCAAATTTAAAAAAAAAACATTTTTGAAAAACATATCATCTTGTAAGTCAACAAATACGATAATATACTATTTCCATTCATAAATATATATATATATATATACATATAGATATATTTGAAAACAAAACCAAAATACAATTCAGCCGAACTCTGGGGTAGGGGGTCAGTGAAGCAAAGTGAGATAAGCATGGGTAACCACTTCATTCATTGTTTTATCTCCTTAATCTGCAATTCATGATGCCTGAATCTTGTGCATACCACTTCAGAGTGTTATCAGCCTGATGTAGGTAATGCCAACATAGCAACCTGAGATAGCAGCAGTCAAGTAGAGCCTATATACTTGTCTGGTGGCCCAAAATTGTAGGGGTTTGAATCTGCATCAAGGCAAATTTACAAAACTGATTTCGGCTCTAAGGTCGATCCAGCCTCAAATGGGTACCAGTTTATGTCATGGGAGGTAAAGACAACCAACATGATGCTGACCACATCGCCTACCGAGTGCTGACTGATTTATAAAAATGTTGGTCTAGCAACTGGATGCCAACTACACCAAAAGCATGCAAAAAGTCCTTAACTTTACTCAAAAAAAGTCAATTTACGTCTGAAATCAAGATGAAAACCACCAAACAACCAGCAAGCAAATATATATGATCGGCAAGGCCCTTTACAAACAAAAGAAAACAAGAAACTGAAATATTAATAGAACTGTTTATGCTAGTCTAGACTAAAAACAACAAAGGGAAAGAATGGCACAGGAAGCATGCATGAAATAAGTTAACATGTGGCTGGTCGGTCACTAGTTCCCCCTCCAGGAAAACTGTCCATCGGATTTACACCTCAAGGATGACAAACAGGATCAAATCACAAAAACCCCATTCAAGCATAAAACACAATCTGATCACTGATTACTGATTAAAGAATCAACTTGATAACACACCAGGAATATTCATAGGAGACCTTTATCCTGTACCCTTTAGAAAGCTGGTTCAACCTGGGAGCCATGGTCGTTTATTTGTAAAATCTGACTCAATGCAGATTTGACCCCAAGACCTTTGAATCAGCAGGTGAGCTTGTAGCTCATATGCCACCATTGTTTCCAGTAGTAGTCTGATATCATTCCTGACCATAGCCATATTATATTATGTATTAATCGGCACTCACAGAAAGAAGTAGAAAGATGTTTGTTTGTTGTTTGTTTGAGTATCCAGAAGCCTTGAGTTGTTAACCCTTAGGCTCGGTATTATGGATATCGCAACCTTTCGGCCTTGATTCCATTGTAAATACCGTAAATCTGGGAGAAAATGTGGCTTTCCTGCCTACCCCCGGGATTGAACCCGGACCACAAGGAGTACGTCACCCGGTCACCGCGAAATCCGGTTTAGCCAATTCCGCTAGAGAGCCGGGCAAGTAGAAAGATAGTATACATTAGACAATATTAAAATCAAAAGCTATAGCTACCATGCTATAATCAACCAGTCACCTCCAAATGATGACAGCGTCATGATGCAGAAACAAGTATACTAATATGTATAACCAAGTAGGCACCCCTATAAAAAAATGTCTTCATCAGCCATTTCTATCTTACAGCTTGAATTCACAACTATGGAATACGGACAGAATTCATCTCAAACCACTGAAATGGCACTACAGGTTACAGAAATTTATATTAACCAAGCATTGGTCGAATAACAAACACAAAAACAATTATACACACAATGAACCTTGCTGTGTCAACTATAAAAATTAAAAGGGAAGATTACAAGAAATAAAAAAGCACCAAACCCAAATGGTAAAAAAAATTTTTTTTTTTTAAATCAGCACCAGAAATAAATTAAAAAAAACATTAACAAAAAGAGTACACAAAGCACAGCTGTATTCCCATGTCCTATTTCATGCAGGTATCCTCACCCAGCTGGCTCTTAAGCTGTGCAGTCTCCGAGCTTCTTCCTGACCCCAAGACGTCCTCGTTACAACTTGTGATGAGATTAGAAGATTGAGGAGGATGTGAAGCTATGCTGCTGCTGGTTACACGCGGAGAAAAGCCTTTCAACAAATGAGTTGCATATCTAGAAAATGCATCTTGGAATGATCCTGGGCTAAAAGAATTTGATGAGATCCTTTCATCAGGTCGTTCCATTTTCACAGATCCAAAATTAGACTGAGATAATGACTTAGGAAGAATTGCTGAATGTGATGTCTGGGAAACTGGCAAAAGCTTATCAGGCAATGATTTCACAATTATGTTTGCTGATGTGTGACTTTCTTCAGGACAACTATTGCTAGAAAAATGGTCCTTCATGGTTTTGGCAGATAATGGCTGCCCTGTAAGACTTTTATTAATTTGAGAAAAAATATTTTTATGACCATGAACTGGTGAAGAATAGACAAACTTTTTCCTATTTCTAATCAAGGATTCATTTTCTAAATGACTTTTTGTATTTGGCAGCAAACTTGATGGTTTTGTTTGTTTCTGGATTTTAGTAGGAAATCTCATACTGTTATCTGGCAACTCTGGGGATGTTATGAAATTACTTCTATCACTTGACTGAAAACTGGAATTATACGAATGCAAATCTTGCCTCTTTACACCTGAAGATATACTATTTTTTGTTGTTCTTGCATCAAAACTCGCTAACTGTAGTAGTTTTCTTCCATCATGCAATTTGTCCACAGAACACTTCTCCGTAGACAATATAATTCTTTCAGAATATGGCAGCCTATGTACCTTCTTTTTATTCTCAACAACAAGAGAGTTCCTAATCTGATCTGCATTACTGGTTGCTGAAGAAAACTGTTCATGCTCCTGAAATACCTTTTTGGGGTAAGTGCTGGAAACCAGGTCAGTCCTGGACATATCTAAAGCAGTTCCAGTAGCAAGCTCTCTAAAATCTGTTGTGTGTGTGTTAACAACTTTCACATCAGTGTTGCAATAACCAAGAGAAGTTGACAGCAAGCTACCAGGACAAGCTGCTGCTTGACCATCCGTGCCACTGATCTTAGAACAAAGCTGGGACGTTGCCCCAACATCCTTCATTGTCCCAGACTTTGCTCCTGCAAACAGACAAATGAGGATGAGTAGACACCAAGCATCACCACATCAATATTACAAGGATTCATGTGGAAATACTATTCCGGTAATGCAGGAGTGTGAGGGACAGCTATAGCTACAGATGGACAGCTATATAGCTTTAGACAGATAGTTATAGGCACAAAGTGGACACTCGACAAGGGAGACACTCTGAAGACCATTTATGAATGACTGCTGACAAAAGAAACAAGGTTAGAGGAAACAGCATGAGTAAGAATTTGTGAACGTGGAATTAGGAGTGGATCCAGCAAGGGAGAGAGTATGAGTGGAAGAGAACGATGTGTGCATAATCAGTGGGCTACAGAAACAATTAGCATCTACACCTGAAGACATCTGCTGCAGGAGACGGAGCCTCTATGGATATGTCTGGTGTGCTCTGAGGTCAATTCTTAAATCAATAATCAGTAAAGCAAACAGACATGCCAAAGTTATATAGCCTATTTGTATGCAGACTGTTGGTTCCTCAAGTCTCAGGCAGACACACCCCGGCTTTGAAGAAAACAGCCCTAATTAGTCCCCTTGTATTACATACTTGTTAGAGGGCAGTGAATTCATTCTTTCCCCCAAAAATAGATCCTCAGAAAACACATGTGGAGGACAGTAGATTCAACATGTTTTCCTAGATGACAGTGACAAATTAAGATGGGTGTAAATGTTGCACAATTTTAAAACCCCTTTTTAAAAAAAGGTAGGCTAAATAATCAATGATTCTTCTATATTTCAAAAAGATTACAACAACAACAACAACAACAAAAGTTTAATTCCTAAGGCAATAAAACTCAGCTTACCAAAAATGTCTGCCTCTGATGCTCCAACAAGCTTCCGTGCCATGGCCAGGTTTTTTAAAGCCTGCCCTTCAATGGCTTCTTGATTCTGAACCTGAGTTTTAATTTGTTCGTATAGAGAAAGGGCAGTAACTTCTGCCGGGGACACTGGAGACATTTGTGGAGACGGAGTATCGGTTCTTGACAGGGGCATAGATGAACTATTGTTGAAAAGATCTGATTTGTTGGACAGTGATGGTGCTGGTGATGGTCTAGCTGTGGAGGTGAAGGTTTGTGCAGACAGTGTTGTTTTTCCAAAGGGTACTGGCTGTTTGATGTTCTTTGACTTACTCGAAGTCCATCCTGCAAAGTCTGCTGCTGTATGTGGTTTAAACAACGGCAGAGTGCCAGTCCCAATAACAATGCCTGTTTTCAGATGCTGATGGTGTGGGTTCAACACTGGTGCTGAGCTAGAAGTCGCTATTACGACCCCAGACTTTAACTGCTGGTTTGGTTGACCAGATTTTTTCTGCTCACTAAGATATTGCACAAGTTTTGAATTTATTGAATCCTCTTTGAAGACTGTTCCAGCAGCCTTTACTGGTAGTATGCTGGGTTTGTTGAAAGTCTCACTTCCTGGTGCTAGGCTTACCATGCTGGATGAACTTAATCCACTTCCTAAAAGGTTTTGTTTCTTTACAACATTCAGACTGGACTTGGCAGACTGCAGCAGTTTCTGCTGCTGGCTTTGTGACAAAAGCATCTGGTTTTCTTGTACTGATACTAAACTCACAGAATGCTTTAACGCAGAAGTATTTGTCACCAGATTCACAGAAACTGGGTTAAGTGATTGACCTGAAGGTACAACAGAAGTCACCGTAGTCCACGAAGAATTTGAATTCTTTACAGTCCCATGGTGAGATAATCTTGAGTCTGCTTTCTGTTGCAGAGATTCTGCTGTAGTTGGCACCCCTGAAGATTGTGTTGGCTGGCTTATTTTTGATGTCGGCATATCAGGAGAGAATTTCTGCCCCAAGGCTGACATCTTTTGTTGCTGGGAGTTGAGCTGTTTGTAGATGATTCTGGCTGGTTGCTCAGATTGTGGCGGCGGTGGTAGCGGCGTGAGCTTTGCAGATCCATTGTTGTTCAAGTCACCAAGACCTTCAGAATATGAACTGATGATGCTGGAGGTAGATGCTGCAGAAGCTGCCTGTGGATAAAGCAGACATTCAATGAACAGTCTCAGTGCATGTGAGGGGGAAAAGAAGAAAGAAATAAGAGAGAGTATGAACAAATGAACTTTATTTTCAAAGGGTCACACAATTGAGCATGTAGGCTTGTCTTGAATTGGGCACTTCTAAACATTTATCTAACACACAGGAATGGTTATCTGCATGTGAAGCATGTTATGCTTATATAACAATATACACTGTACGAGCAACCATGCCAAACTGCAGAATAATAGTTGGTTTGAGTTGGCTGTAGTATACCTAAAATATTTTGTGCATATTTTCATCCAGAAAGTGCTAAATACTGTCAAGTGGATAAACTGTGTATTTTTGTGTGTGGTTCTGTTATGGCATGAACATGACAACTCCGAGTTGAATGATTGTTGTTTATAATGCCTAATGTTTTGTGTTCCCTTACATTAGGCATAGGTAATTTGTCAATGCTCTGATATGGCATGTACAAAGCTAAGGTTTGCAACTTTTGTCTAGTTGCTATTCCCACAGATTTAGTTTTATTTATGTTAATTTGCATGCAATTATTGCTGTTCCATTTTATAAGATTACCTATTTCTTTCTTGTAATGAACGTTCTAACTCGTTACAATTCCCATGTCTAGTATATACTGTTCAGCCGTCAACAAACAGATGTTATACTGAGATGTAATGGAAGGTCATTAATATAAGTAGTAAAAAGTAGTGGACATAATACTGAGCCTTGGGCACACCTATATTTAACTGTGTGGATTTTGAAAAAACAGTTATTGGAGGACACTTCTTGGTGTATCCGACCCACACAAAAAATACACAAGACTTTTTTAATATCACTAAATTATTGTTGGTTTTCAGATTTTTAAATTTATCAATTAAAATATTGCGATCAACTATGTCAAAGGCTTTCATACAGTCTACAAATATTGCACAACATATTTTGCCACTATTGTTGTTAACATATTAGTTATCTGTAATTTTTGTCATTGCAATATAATAAGAGTGTTTAGGTAATATATATATATATATATATATATATATATATATATATATATATATATATATATATATATATATATATATATATATATATATATATAACCCTAATTGGCTAACAACGATTAGATTGGTGTTATTTAGATGTTGAAACATTATTTTATGTATGAGTTTCTCTAATGGTTTAAATAGCAAACAGTTTAGAAAACTGTATGTCTGGAGGCTCAACCTATACAGAAGATATAGACCAAGCTCAAAATTGTGAGCTAAAAATCTGGAGGTCAACTTTTATGCCAACACTTTATTGTAACAACTATGACAACAAAGTACATATTTAACATACCATCTTAGAATCTGAACTTCCATAAGAAAATGCTGGATTCATTGACTCTAGTTCATTTCCTGCAGCAGGTGATACCTTAGCTGTTTCTGCAAAGGCAGCTGAAGCCACCACCTTTACAGAAGAGGTTGTTGAGGTCAAACATGGGCTCTGCATCCCCCAGGAAGTTGATGAGGCAGAAATTCCAACAGTGTGTGGCAAAGTTATGTAAGCTTTGGCAGAATTAGTAGTGAGATTCCCAGCATCTGATACTGAGGAGTACAGAATGGAACTGTGGAAAGTTTGCGGCAGTGATCCCATGGAGTTTGGTAGATTAATGACCACTGTGTCCTTTTTATTTCTGCCACCATTCAAAATGCTGGACACTTCTATGACACCTTCACTCTTTGAGATTTGGAGATTTGTGGTCTCAGTTTTGATAGTGGCCAAATCAACAGCTGCCTTTTTCAGCATTTGGGAATGGGTAATCTCTGCATTGGTAGGGGCTGAATCTAAGGATGTGATGGCTTTCCTCTGCTTTCCCCTGTGAAATAAGCAAACTGAATGAAAACACTGATTCATATAGTTTAGACATATAGAACACTAAAACCAGGTCTAGGTTGTTATGAGACTACAAACAACTCTATCTAGCTCGTAGACACTATGGTTACATATGTCTCTGAGATACTGCAGATATATCTATGAAGTCCCGAGATACTACAAAATATCTTTGTGGCTCTGATATACTACAAATACATCTATGTGGCTACGAGATAATAAAAATAAATGTCAGTGGCTCTGAGATACTACAAATAAATCTTAATGGCTCTGAGGTACTATAAATAAATGTATGTGGTTTTGAGATACTACAAATAAATTTATGTGGCTCGGTGGTACTAAAATTAATCTAAGTGGCTCTGAGATACTACTACTAAAACTAATGTGGCCTTCAGAGATACCAAAATACCTACATACAGAAGATAATTAGAGAAATAAGTAAATGGGATGGTGAAGACATGGGGTGAGAAGCATATGATGGGGAGGGATAGAATGGCTTGGGATGATATGGATGAAAGACCAGCTGCACTGAGCGAAGAGGAAGAAGTTATAAGAGGACGAGAAAAACAATGATGCAGGAAGGAGAAGGAGCACCGGTGGAGGAAGAAGAAGAAGAATAAGAACAATTTACTTACTGTTGTTGTCCTCCTTTGGTGAACTCTTCATGTGCCTTCCTACTTTCTTTAAACAAAGTTCTGCGGAGTAGAAACACATTTTAGATTACCATTTAGCAGTATTTTGTAGATACTTCCATCCAAAATGGCAAATGCCAGCTGAACCCTCACTCTGAAAAGTTATTTGTTTCCAGACAGGTTTTGCTGATGCAAATTCTCCATTTCTGGTCCAGGAGTCCAAAGCTTTCATCGCCCAGCTACTGAGTTGAGTACTTTGTGCAACACTGTCATTTAATGTGCAACTTTTTTGTTTGTGCCTTCAGCATGTTGCTGAGTGCATTAGAATGATTATTCGCCAATTGCGTTCAATATGGCCTGTACTTTTGTGGGTGCAAGGCTAGCTTTCATGACTGGCCATTTTGCACCAACAGTGAGTTGCAACTGTAGTGTGGGACCATTAGTGTTGGCACATCTGACAGCTCTATGCATTTTTAAAGTATTTTCAATTTGCCTGTGCAGACTTCAAGATCTTGCTGGCGGTGACATGTTTCACCAGTTTTCAAATGGGACAGTAAAGGATATTTTGTGTGATTACCAATGGTACAGGAATGAAGCAGTTAGGGGATGATCCATCTGCAGTGAAGTTAACGACCAATGACCTCTATGAAGGTTGTGATGCCTCATGTCCTCCCCTGTTCCATACAGCTTGGTTTCCATTGAAATGCCAATCAAACAAACATGAGATCTCTATTCTGCATGTGGAGAGCATGTCTGTAGCACATGTCCAGTATTCTGTGGTGCCTGTCCACACGGGCAAAGTTATGAATTCCCAGGCTTGAATTTCTTACACCTATGGCTGCAGTCTGTTGTGTCCAGCAGGTAATTTAAAGGCAACTGCCACTTTTATAATGCTGGTTGTTTGCAACATACCAAGACCAGTATCTACCTCAAGCCCCTGTTATGTACTCAGACAGACGAATGTTTATCAGCCTCTTATGATAATTAGGTAACCACCCTTCCAACATCACAGCCAACGTGTCACCCCGCACTTGCTCTGTTTCTGTGCCAATGAAAACCATACAGAATACCCATCACTGCCCCTTGTGAACTAACTGATACAACCTGTAGTCTTGACAAAGCCCAAAGCCAACACAGGCGTAAAATGCATAAGGCAGCCATCAGAAGTCGTAACACAAACAGCTCGGCACTTGACAGGTAGTTTAGCATCGATGAAAGAAGCAATTACAAGAAATCAGCAGTTGCACATGCAAATAATTGTATAAGGCACCATAAGTACAACTCAAACCACATTAGGCACTAGACACAAATTGCAAATAAAATATGTAACTCACAATGTCGCATACGCACTTAGCTCAGCAGCTGGATGACGGAACTGTAATCTTTCTGTCCCAATATGGGGGAAAGGGGGCATTTACAGCAAACCACAGGTAGAATCAAATATAAAAATAAAAAAATATTTATCTATCCGAGATACTGTGCTTAAAGTTTTTTTCTGTTGTCCCTTTCTCTTTCTTTACTTTCTCTAGATCCTGTTCTGCTTTTTAGTGTCCGGTATTGAAGAGACATCTGGTGTGAGCCGTGGTGTATGCTAAACAGATGCTGGTATTCACAGCCTCTGATATTTCACACCTAACCACCATTTGCATGGGTGACCTCTAGATCTTCATATTGTATTTCACTTGTAATGTCATTTACGTCATGTTTAAATTTTACTGTCCAGTAAGTTTTTTTTCTTCAGTATAGTGTCCTGTGATACTGCCAAAATATCTTAAGCCTTTTTGTATATGACATCTATCAGGGCTAGTTTCACTTCCTTTCCTTTTTCATCGCCATGTAGCAGGTCCTTTGCAGCCCACCATTCTCATCACAGCTTGCCTGAAAGAAACTCAGTCTCTGGCCAGATCTCTGGACTCGTGTGAGTCATGGACCATCTCCCAGTCATTCAGGAAGAAGATGAAAGGCTACAGAAATATCAGCAGAATACCATGGACCCAGATGGAAACAAATGCTGACATCCTAAAAGATCTGAACATCAAGGAAGATTGGCCAGTAAACAGCATCTTTTCTCAGAAACTGAAACATTTCTGCCATATCAAGCCCACAGCGGTTTAGAAAGAATAAAAAAGGTAAAAAGAATAGTAAAAGAATAGTAGCAGAAGCCATGGTATCAGGGAAAAGAGGAATAAGGACTGACCAGCGAAAAGATGGGCACAGGATATAAGTGACACCTTGGGTAGGACATTGCACATTTGGCGAGAGACCTAGTTTCTTTCAGGCAATGAGAACGACGTTCTATACAAGACCAACATGATGATGATGATGATGATGATGATGATGATGATGACAGATAATAGAAAAAGACAACAGAAGACAACAGGAGAGGTTTCTAGTCAGCCCTTTGTGTTGGCATGAGAAAGTGTTTACATTTAAAATGTTACATGCTGTTAGAGTTCACACAGTATCTGCAAAAGCATGTACGCCCATATAAGTGAACCAGATAAGTAAAGTATAGGACTTTTACTAATGCCATAATTTTACAAACCAATTAGCACAGGGGGTGAGGTGGTTAACATCACAGCACTCTGTGGCTGAGGTGGTTAACATCACAGCACTCTGTGGCTGAGGTGGTTAACAACACAGCACTCCGTTGGTGAGGTGGTTAACATTACAGCACTCTGTGGGTGAGGTGGTTAACATCACAGCACTCGGTGGGTGAGGTGGTTAACATCACAGCACTCTGTGGTTGAGGTGGTTAACATCACAGCACTCTGTGGGTGAGTTGGTTAACATCACAGCACTCCGTTGGTGAGGTGGTTAACATCACAGCACTCTGTGGGTGAGTTGGTTAACATCACAGCACTCCGTTGGTGAGGTGGTTAACATCACAGCACTCTGTGGGTAAGGTGGTTAACATCACAACTGTCTGCCTTTACTTCTCAGGGCATTACCTGGTGCCCATTTTATGTTGGTGACCTGGATGCCAAGGTCATGAAAGCTCACAATGATGATAATTTTATTTCATACTTTACCTGGTCTGCATCCAGCCTGCAGGCCACAATGGTTTAATCTCTGAGTCCAAATATGCTCTGAGATATTCTTCGGCAGTTTGGCTGCGAGACTTAAAAGTGCTGTAATGTTTCACCTTCGTCGCTATAATGCCAAGCAGCAAAGTTCTATGGGAAAGAAAAGTCAATAATTTAAATGCTTTGAAAGACAGATAAAAAAAATTCAGGTTAAAGTTGTTAATGTGGAAAAAAAACGAATAAACAAACACAGGGTCACAAACTGGGCACGCAGGCCTGACTTACATTCAGTCTTTCCAAACACTCACCTGTCATACTGCAATTGTATTTTACCTTTAAAGCATGTTATGTTATTATAGATTTTGACTGGCACCTTTCTATCTTTCCAGACGATGGTGTTATACTGCGCTATGAGGAAGTGATAGCGAGTGTGACAAGCAAGACCCGCCAGTGTCAAGAAAAGTCTTCCACAATGGAAGCATCGGATTTCAGACCATTGTTGTCAACATTTGTGTTTAATCCGTTTCTTCCCAGACGCTCAGCCCTCATCCTTTCTTCCTTCACTCTCATTCCCTTCCTGATATGCCCTCTCCACACAACACGGCGCATGACCTTTTGTTCCCATGAGTCTACCTCTTACACACTTCTTTATACCGTAAGAGGTCGGCCTCGACAACTTCTACCTGTCTTTAATTCACCATAAAGAATGTTCATATAACAATACACACATATATTAAAAACATGTGAACAAGCTGAGTTAGTTTTAATGTTAACTATTCTAGCTGAGCGTGGATTTTTGTCGTGGTATGGGACGTCGCAGGTCGACCCAGCCTAAAATGGGTACCAGGATGGTCTGTCCTGGGAAAGTAAAGACAGCCGGCGTAATGCTGACCACATTACCCACAGAGTGCTGATGGTCTGTAAAAATATGGGATGCTCTGCCCATATGCCCGATGCGCCGAAAGGCGTGAAAAGGGAACTTTACTTTTTTTTTTTACTTATTCTAGCTGAGCCTACATCATCACTGCCATGTGCTGTGCTGATAAACATGGCCTGTCATGTTTAGCAACTTCACACAATCCCCTCGGATCAGGTCAATATGCTAAGCCATCCAGATATTTGTTTCTTTGCCTTTTCTTTGCTCTTTCTTCCCCAATCTTGCCAGTTTTAACTTCTTCTTTTCCTTAGCAATCACCAGCTGTAAACTCTGACAGACAGTTCTAGTTGTTCGTCCACTTCTAGATTTTTCCAAAATCTGAGTCCTGCAAGCACATCCAATCAACAGATCTGGTTTATCTGTTTGCAAACTATTAGTTTCTCACTTGTCAAGTAGATGCATTCCGACTTCTAAGTAAACACCCCTAATTAGTGACTTTTTAAGACATGCTTCTTGGTAGGGGAGTCATCATAGGTTGGTGATTATATGGTCATTTTTTATGAAGACAAGAAGCATCAACCACTTGGGGTATATTTGTGTGTAGAGATATGAATTGGCAGACAGAGTGGTTAATTCTGTACCACTGGGCGGTGAACTGATGTTAGAGAAGGTAGATGTGTCAAGACCAATGGCGTGACAACTTCCCATGGTTGACCTCCATCTTCTTCTTCGCCTTTACCAGCAGTAAACTCAAGGGGAAAGTACTAGGTGTCATCCATCTCCAGACTTTAGCCCTTTTCCAGAACTGAGTACTGCATGCACATGTGTTTCACATATCTGACTTATTTGTTTCATGGTTTCTTGTCTCTCAGGGAGATGTTCTTTGACTTCTATGACATGCTTGTTAAAGAGGCAGTGGGACTATTCTTGTTTCCTCCACAATTGGACCCCAGAACCCAGATAGGGAACACAGATATCAACGCATAACCCTCATTGAAAGAACTGAATCACAAACATACATTCAGACCTTATTTCAGAATTCCAAAAGAACTTGCGTCGTGGGCCTCTAGGTTTTTTCTTGGTATCAGCTTTCTCTTCCCCTTCACTTTCTGTAGATACCTCCTCCTTCGCCACGTCTGCTGGATCTTCCTTGGCCTCTGCCTCCACTCTGGTGGATTCAAGGCTGTTTTTATTTAACGAAATTAACTCATGCAATCACACATCATATTTATTACACAAAGTTTCAGTAACTGTTCAGTGGGCACTAAAAGTATAAAGAGAGAAACTAGGTTTAGAATTCTATACAAAAATGAAACTGTCAATAACTGTATGTATTTAGCACTGTTGAGGTGTAGGCAGGGGGGTCTCTGGGCCTGGTGATTTAGGGCCTCATGGCTAGTGCTGCTGCCACAAACTGCACAGGTAAGAATTTTATTTTCGCCACTAAACAGAAAAAATCCATGACCTTGCATGAGAGCCCAGCGTTGTGAAACATTCGGCTGGCATCTCTTCAGTTTAAAAATCAACTTTAAGAAAAGAGACATTGTAGTTCAAGACAGAGTTCAGCTCTGGGGCTTGCGAACATGTTCTTCAGTTCTTGGTGCACCAGGGTTTGACTTCGGTGGCGGCCAATTTAAAAAAAAAAGTGTGCTTAATGTTTCCGAACATTGGTGCAAGAGTCACTCTATAGAAGAGATTACGGTTCTACTATAAAACATTCCCCAAAGACAGCAACTGGATGTACTGCAGCCAATCTCCATTGTACAAATGTCACATACAAAAAGAAAGAAAGACCAAACCCAAACTTCCATGTAAAAAGGGAAAGTTCAGTGAACTGGTTCAAATATCTTTGATATTTATAAACAGGTCATTTCCATGGAAACACAACAGAATCAAATACCGAGATTCCGGAGAGACTGCAAAAGAAAAGAGAGTTACTGAAAGAAATAAAAAGAGAGGGACTGCTGAAATATTTCAGCCACATAACACTCTTTTAAAAACCATATTAGAGGAAACAGTTGGCAGCAAGAGGATAAGAGGTAGACAACAATATAAGAGGTAGGACAATATCAAGAGATTGAAAAACGGCAGTCTGAGAGTGTACAACTAAGACAGATGACAGAGCTTGTTAGAGATCCATTGTAGCCAACCTTGACTGTGGAGATGACTGACTGATCGGTTGATTGACTGACTGACTGACTGACTGACCGGTTGATTGATCGACCGACTGACTGACTGGCTGATTGATCAACTGACTGACTGACTGACCGGTTGATTGATTGACTGACTGGATGATTGATCAACTGATCGACTGACTGACTGACCGGTTGATTGATCGACTGATTGACTGACTGACTGATCTCTGAGCTTCAGAAAACTAGACAATTCCCAGTGAGGTGAAGAAATGGACAGGACAAATGTTGAGAAAACCTGCAAATAATAGAAGTGCTTTACATTGGAACTCAAAGGGACACAGCAATAAAGGCAGACCAAATAACACATGGATTAGGCAGCTAGAGAGTGAAGTTGAAAAGATGGGGAGGACATGGGGTCAGCTATGAGCAATAGTAAATGATAGGATGACCTGACATAAGATGGCTGAGGGCCTTTGATCATACATCTACATTAAAGCATAAAAAAAGAGGCCAATTAACTTGCATATTGTAAACAGGGATTCACATACTTAGCTTTCTGAACATCCATCTCATGTTGTTCTTGTAAAGCTGGCATCACTTTCATGATGGCTGCAGAGAAAGGAAATTAACAAAGCATTAACCCTGCCACTCCAAGACGACTTTATCCAGTACCTTCCAGTTGTGTGACAGACCCCCTTAAATGCCAATATATTGGCCTGTCTGTAGTGACCTGTTCTTGAAAAGCTTCCTTATTACCCAGTGGCTTTTTCTTTAAAGCCAAGTTGATGTTAAATTTTCCTGTGCACCTCAGTGATAGAAGTCAGGGCACAGGTCATCCGATACAAAAATGGTTAGGCCCTGGAAATGTACTCTATTTAATGTTTCACTCTGTGTGAGTTTACTGATTGCCCCACTTAGATATGTTTATATATTTCCAAAACATACACACACAAAATTGTTTACTAATGTCAATCAATACATTTTTAAACAATGTATTAGTGATCTGGGTAAAACTGCAATTTTTAAAGCATTTTATCGGAAATTTCCATAGGGACATGACCCACATTTAATATCACTAGGGTGAAAGGTTGAAAAATGGCTGCCAAGGAAACAGATAAATTCTTCTTGAAGTCTTAACATGTGGTACTGGTTCTCATGTGTGCCCATATATTTCTGCTTCCCATTACTTACATGAACTGCCCTCATGGGGTCCACATTATCCACAGGTTAAATGGGCCCTCTACACCTGACCACACTTTCTATAATTCCCCCGCTTTTAAAACAATGACATAGAAACAGTAAAAAGATTAAAAGGATTTTTTTAAATGAATAACGAAGACAAGGAAGAGACAGTGTGTGTGTGTGCACACATGCATGTGTGTGCGAACGTGTGCATATCTCTCTTGCGTGTGTGTGTGTTTGCACACATGCATGTGTGTGCGCACATGTGCATGTCTCTCTCTCCTTCTTCAACAACCTGAGTCCTTGAGGTTGATTGCTGCAGATATCCCTCACCTTTGTTTACAACAGTGACTGGTCTTCTCTTTCCACTTGGTGACAACTGTGTTTGTATGTATGCAGGTATAATACCTCTCCACTGTCTTCTCGATCTGTCTCATGGTCCGTTTCCATTCATCTCTTTTGTGTACGCAGTTTTTATCTGTTTCTTACTGTCATTCTCTCTATATGTTCAATCATTACAGTCTATTAACCTTCATGATGTCAGTAGTTAGTGATGATTTACACAGATTATTAATTTCATTCTGGCTACTCACTCTCAATTCTCCGCTGCTTGCATCTTTGATGAATCTAAATAATCATCCTAAGTCTCTGTTCTCAAAAGCGCCACCTTGTTTAGCTGTACTCCAGGTTTTGGAGCCATACAGGACACGGAATGACAACAGCCATTGCTGCCTGTCAAGCAATGGATCGCAAACCATTCCTTCCCACAATACTTAATGGCAGAAGTGAAAATTGATGATAATGTTGATGATCTAGGACAACTGGTCTCTTATCGGTTGTATATATTATGATCTTGATGCCTTATTGTAACAGGGAGACGTCATTACATGTTTGTCAGGAGTTAGGATATTGCGCATAATTAGAATAATCAACAAGTTTTGGAGACCTTGACATTCCCTTTTCTAGAATCATTGTTTGTTATTAACAGAGAAATATTTTGCAAAGGACTAATCTATAAATAGTATATGATGTCATTGTTGACGTGCCCTATCAAAGTGAACACAGTTGTACTGGCGTTCTGGAAGCTCCATGAGGCTAGCTGTTAATTTAATTACTATATTTAGGTCAGAATAAGATGATGAAATCTAATGCAATCGAGATATAATTAGAAAATCCCCTGTGAGAACGCACATAGTAAACAAGTTTTAGCATATCAGAATATTCTAGAAGCAGTCAAAGTGAGCAGAAAACACATTCCCCGCATTCCAGCACCTCAGTATAAAATAATGAGTAAGAAAGCACTTGGGTATTCCTTCAGTCTACGAGATTTAGAAGAGGAGGGACTAGTAACAGGGACCCTCAGAGAAAACCTCCAGTTGTAGAGATGCCAGCTCAATGCTAGAAGCAGAGGAACCAGTCACATGTAGCCTCGGAGAAAATCACAAGAGAAGAGACATTAATTGAGACATCAAACTACAGAGACAGCAGACAAGATACATGGATCCATGGTCAACAAAGACACTTTAGGTAGAAACACTATTGAGATGTTAGTCGACAATCAAATTGTTAGAACCAGACAGCACTAGAAGCCAGGTGGCAGTTAGACACTAGAGCCAGTTGGCAATGTTATTAGAGATGAAAAACAGAACACCACCTTAAGAGTATGTAGCCACAGACCATTCAGAATATCACTGATGTTAGATGTTGTGACATTGCTGGTCTCACAATAAAGACAGTATAGACAAGAACAGTTGTTTCCAGACATTTTATTATACAAGCATCAGAGTCACGTGAGAAGCATGAAGCTAGCAAGTTATCATTATCATCACCACTATCTACACGACCATCTTTCTCCTCGTCTATTCTCTTCCAATCGACTCCTCCTGTAGCCAACCAAAGACAAACCTGGGTGTGTCATTAACGCACTCAAAGAACACAGCTGTGCTACATTATCACAATTGTCTATATTGCAGTCTTGGCGTTACTATATAGAGCATCTGATGTTGAGAGAAGTTGCATGGCTTAGTATACTGGGGGTTTTGGTGGAAGAAGGAGTAATGTATGTCTAGGTAGCTGTGACCAAGGCCCATGGTGGAAGAGCGAACAGATCATCAAGCCCAGATAAAATGATATAACAGGGAGTAACCACAGGAAATGGTGGACACTCAGTGCTCAGAGTAAAGGCAAGATGGAAATACAATCAGACCCTTGTACGGGTTCCGGGGCATAATTATGAGGGTAGGGCAAAGAATAGATCCATGGCACCCTCCACTCCACAAGAATGTTGGAAAAAGCTGTTTTTAGCAGTTCACGAAAATCAGATGTGCTGGGCCAAAAGGCACAGATACTGCAGCCTAACTGTAAGCCACAAAATAATGTGCCAATCACCTTTAAAAGGCGAATGTAGAAAAAGATAATATAATCTGGCTTTAACCGGTACCATTTTTATCAGAACTCTGCAGAACTGTTCCCTAGAGCAAAACTGTCCCCTAGAGCAGAACTGTCCCCTAGAGCAAAACCTGCAGGAAACACATGGCCAAAGGGAAAAGGCATCCAATTCAAGAAGGCAACACAACTGATAACAACTGATAACTTCAGCATATGAAACCGATCATAAAAAAGTAACTTCTATGCAGTGGCTGCTGAAGATAAGGATTTAGCTCTTATGAGAAGGTCCCTAGTGCTATAATACCAGCTCTAAATACAACTCAGCTCAAGGTTAGGACACAACATCAGCATATCATGGGTTTTCTATTCAGGATATTCAAGTGTGCAGGGTAATCAGCAGGTGGATCGTATGGCTGATGTCTCTTCTCTGAGCAGTGAGCTACTTTATTATATACCAGACATGGTCAAAGCTCTCTGGAATTAAATAGACAGTGCAACAGAACAGACAGAGAATCCACACACTGAAAGACTAGTTCAACAGGGGATAAGTAGCTGTTCTGGAAGATATTCAACGCTAAGGGGGGAAACATAGGCGGACTTTTAATCAGGTTGCAACTAGTGCTATCAGCATGTTAATTTTTTTCGGATACTGAGGAAGGGGGAGCATGTGTGGAAATGTCCCAAGTGCAGCGATGACAATTCCTGATTCATTTATTCAAGGGTAAGACTAAATATTTAACCTAGCTATGTTCACCTTCTTTGAGTGTTCTTATGGGTCCCTTCAGCTGGTCTTCCTCTTGGGATTCCCGCAGTTTCTTGGCCCTCCGTTGCAGTGTGTACTTTCCACATGGTAAATGCTCACTCAGATGATTGTAGATAGCTGTCTTACTTCCCCATGGCAATCTATGGGATCCCAGTTCAATGCTAAGGAAGATCGTAAATATAAAGGTTGGTAATAAAACGCACAGAAGGATAGTAAAACTGAAAGAAAATAATTTTTTTTAAACCAGACAAGACAAAAGACAACCATAAAGAAAAGCAAAGCAATAAATAAATTGAAAGTAAAAAAATGAAAGAAATGTAAAAAATTAGAGGGAAGTAAACTAAATAAGCAATAAGTCAGAGGAAGTAATATATTAAGGGGAAGTAATAAACCCAACATAGTAACAGATGACAACAGCAGATAGAAGGAAAATAATAAACAGAATGGGTGTAAAATAAGAGCTCAAGTTAAGTTGACCCAAACGGAAGTAAAGAAAGGAAGCAATGTAACCTACCATGATACCACATGAACACGAAGGAAAACTGGCTCATAAACAACATCTTATCATGGTAACTGAAAGATTTTGACCAATAGACTCACCCAAGTTCAACTACAGCTTACTCCTTAACTTTTGTATAGTGCCCCAATATAACTGTGCTATATGGCTACACAGTTGCACAGGGTATCTAGGATTTGTGCCTGTTTGATTCTCGTTCTTGAGATGTTAATACTACAGATTGCAATCCTGGAAGGAAAAACTAAGAAAACAAATCATTGGCCAGATCAAACGTCATGGTGGATAGAAAGAACAATAGCAGAGTGCATGGTACTGGTTGGCAGCCACCGTGGTGTGGTGGCTAGATGCTTGCCTGAGGAGTGGAGGGTCGTCGGTTCAGGTCCTGGCGGTACCAGATTTTTTTTTTTTTCAAAAATGACCTTGGCTCCCAGGTGACCAAGCCTTAAAGGGTACCAGGTTTAGCCCTGTGAAGTAAAGGCGGTTAGCATGATGCTGACCACTTACCCACTAAGTGCCGACTGGTCTATAAAATATAGGTCTAGCCCGATATGCCTGTATGTGAGGAAAACGATTTTTTGTAAAGGATCTGCTACATGATGATCATGGTATACAGAGACAGACACTATCAGACAGGTTGTCACACAAAACAGACATTCAAAAGCAGACACTCATTGACAGAAGTATAAACAGAGACTTAATAGTGACACACTAAAAGATCAAAGAGACAGATAAACAGAAATGTGACATACATTACTTACTCCAATAACAGCTTGTTGATGTAAGCAGAAAAGAATTTCTTTTCTTTCGATTCTTTAGCTTCCTGAAATGAGAGAGAAGATATTCATTTATTATCTCAAGTGTAATGTGTTCAAAATTGAAATAGGATAAAGAGAAGAGCAAGAATATGAGAATAGGGGAGGAGGGAAAGAGCAATAGAAGGAGAACAGCAACATAAAGAGAACTGCTGCAGAAAGATAAGCAACAAGTAGGAGAGGACTAAAAGAAATACAAAAAGACTGATCACTTTCTCAGAAAAATTTGTGGGATCTTATTTTTAGACTGTGCATCCATAGTGGACCAGATACTTCACTGCCACCTGGTGCCTTAATATAAATGTGTTGTATGGCTGAATAGGGTTTCTGGCTGTTACTCCTGACATTTTCATTTGAATAGTGACTCTTTGAGTCACTTGGTGCTAATCTTTCAGAATTCAGTCCTAAATGAAATGAAACAACATAACATACAAAACCTCGCACCAAATCTCAAGACAAAATCAAATCTTCACAAAATACAATATCAGACCGCCTTGTGGGTTCTGGGAACAAATAAAAGACCCACTACTCACTCCTGCCCCAGCAAGCATTTGTAAATAATTAGGAGTGATTCCCCTGAAATCAGAGTGCATCTGCCTGATAGAAGAGGAACCAAAGTCTGCTGACTGACTGACTTTCTACCCCACCAGGACATCACACAAGCGATAAACACCCGATGACTCAATGTGCCACCATGTGGGTGAGGATCACCGTGGAGAGGTCCCAGAAACTACGTTCAGCCTTTAGGCCATATTTATGGCCAGGCTATATTGCGGCCCCTGGCAAGAGCCAGAGTAGGGATTCAAATGATTAAAAAATTTCATCCTAAAAAGGACGGAAAGATTTTAAAGTCTGCTTGCAAATAAGCCACATCTGTAAAATGGATATACACACGAATCTCAAGTTCCAGAACAGTAATGTTCAGAAAAGGACAAATGACCAGAACTTTCCACCAGAGTTTATATCCAGTGAACGCTAAGAAAAAGAAGAAGAAAATGAAACAAAACTTACACGTTTCATGTTTTCAATAGCTTCCAACAAGTAAGGGGGCAACTGGGCAGGTAACTGCGTGTTTCTTTCCACAAGCTGATTCTCTCCCTTCCCTTCTTCACCAGATTTACTGCAGGAGTCTTCATTAATGTTCTCATTCAATACAATGTTAAAAATGTCCTGAAAAAGAAAAAGGTTTTTCTTATTGTTCTCATTCTTTGCTTATCAAATTTTCTTCGACAAAAATTTTTTTTAAAGAAAATTTATGCATTGCAAATACACACATTCACGTGGAAACACTAGCGACTACAGTTTCGGCAATTTGCGGTCTTTTTGGCAATTTCCGTTACCATGGAAACCGTTCGAAACTTGTTTGGGAAATGTCGGCTGGGGTTTCGGGATGGGTCCTAATCTCTTATGAAATTTTGCGATTGGTGTGATTTTCACCAGCTATAAATAGCTGAAAATGGCGGGAACGAACCCAATTAACAGCGCATGTCTACGACAGCCGGACGTCCTCTGTTTTTCTGTTTCATCAGTTTGATTTAAAATAGTGGTAAAGTATTGAAGGTTGGCTTTAGGCCTTAAACATTACCAGACATGGTAATGCTAGTTATAATTGAATTCTCCGTCCAATTTTACATTTGTATATCAAATTTCTTTCCTATGTATGGCTATTTCGATTTACAGTGACATTTTTCAGGCAATCGCTATTATGTGGCTGTTTCTGAGAAAAATTGTCTGCCATCTTGTCCAATGAAAACAAAGCCAAAACGAAAGTGCGCAGTTTGGTTGCGCAGAGAAAACTTCTTGTTTCTCAGACGCAAGTTTTCAACAGCTGTTTTTTACATCTCATCTCCACAAAAACCTACATATCTCAGCTCAGAAATGACATACAAGCCTAAATGAGGTACTGTTGGAAAGAGATTGTTTACAGCTATCTAACTGTGCTGGTTTTATTGGTGTAGAGGGCATTTTAAAAATTTGACTAAAGTATCTAGAAACACACCCATACACACACAAACACCCATACACACAAACACTCATACATATCCAAGCATAAACACACTCATAGATAACCATGCATACACAAACACGCACACATACAAGGATCTAATCATTTACAAGCATCTAATCACAAACATTATTCATTCATACAAAGAAGAAGGAGGAGAAGAAGAAGCCAGAGGAGAAAAAGAAGCCGAAGAAGAAGAAGAAATAGAAAAGGGGCAGGGGGAGGAGAAAAAGAAACCAAAGAAGAAGAAGAAGAAGAAATAGAAAAGGGACAGGGGGAGGAGAAGAAGAAGAAGAAGATAAAAACAGTCAGGTAAATTAAAATGCGATAGAAAAAAAAAATATGACATCCCTGACCTCGATAGACTTGAGCTGATCCTCTCTCAACATCTCACTTCCTGCATCATCACCACCCCCGGTTACTGAGGCTGTGATAGTTCTGCTTGGAGCAGTTACTGTGGTTGTAACAGCGGTTACTGCAACAGTGTTGATGATCACTGCATTACTGGACGCTGCAGGTGGCATTATCACAGGTGAATCTGTTTTGTCTTTCTGCAGTACTGAATCACCCGCGGATTTTATCCTGTAGAAAAATTAAGACATACCTTATGTAATATGTGACTTTCATTTAAAGATACAAATTACCATCACCATCATCATGTGTCGTTCTGTTTTACCATCTCATATGATCACCAGAATCAAGGATTAGGTTTGTGTTCTTGTCTTGCCCCATCCATATTCCCAAGCCATCCAGGTATTTATTTATTTCCCCCTCCTCTTATAATCATATTTGCCAGTCATTACCATTTTCTCAAATCCTCTTCTTATTCGCGCTCAGCAGCTGTAAACTCTGGTGGAAAGTTCTGGTTGTTTGTCTACTTTGTGGACTGCAGTCCTGTTCGAGAACCTGAGTGTTGTGTGCGCATCCATTTCAAAGATCTGACACATCTGTATGCAGACTGTTGGTTCCTTGCCTTTCCGGCAGATGCACCCTGACTTCGAAGGAAGCTTTAAACTAGTTGACTCTTATGATACGTTTTTGGGTAGGCAGTGGGTCTATTCTTGTTTTCCCTATAATAGGGCCCTGGAACCCACATGTGGAAGCTCTCAAAACCATTCCTTCTCATGTACAAAGACTGTCCATGTCGAATTGCACTAATCTGTTTCTAACTTTCATCTGTCTCCAGGAGGACTGCTTCATTTGTTTTTCCACCAATCCATGACATTGACTGCATTCTTCTCAGAAACCTCATCTCTGCTGCGAGTAATAAATGTTTTCCAGCTTGTCATCTTATTGTGTATATCTCAAGTCTATAACAACATGGTTCTGATAGTTTCTTATCAACTGCCCGTACTGGTGGCAGAGCACTTATGGTTTATAACCGTGTGCAATGACGCTGGTTCACATCTCCCAACTCTATCTTTACAGGTTCTACACAGCACTTCAACGCTCTTTTCTCACTGCAGTTGAGTACTTCTTATTGGCAAGCATATTTTACACTTATTTTCACAATGCATTTAAAATCTTATTGAGAGCATCTTTGCTTATTGCTAAAGCAACTTTTTACCACGGCAATTCTTGTTCTAATTTCTGCAAAGGTACCTTGTATCCAATGTTATGTCAAAAATATAAAGAGGGTACTGTCTAAGGGTTTATATCTTAAAACCTGTTTCTCCTTGTGTTGGTTTTGGGGTCTCATTGTGGGCGGAAGTGGAAGGACCCACTGCACCCCCTAACAAGCATGTCTTAAAAGTCGACTAACTAGGGGGGTTTTCTTTGAAGTCGGAGTACATCTGCCTGAGAGGCAAGGAACCAACAGTTTGCATACAAATAAGTCAGATCTGTAAAATGGATTTGCATGCAAAACTACATTTCTGAAACAAAACTAAATCCAGAAGTGGAAAAACAACCAGAACTTTCCACCGGAGTTCACAGTCAAATAAGATCAAGAAGAAAGACAAGGAACTGTTTCATTTATTTTAAAGATATTAATTTCAATAATTTACAGGACGTGACAACCTGTGTAATTTGTTGTCTGTTTGCAGTTTGACCAGGAAATTTTTACATTGAACAGTTCTTCTTCAAATTCTTCTGTGTTAACACTTACAAGAGCAGCTGGCATGTTGATTTGTGGTTGACAGCTAGGTGGCGACACCTGCACCGTCTACCCCTACGCATCTGTTCAGCATAAGCCTAATTAGTCACCACTTATAATGTTCTTGTTAAAGGGTAGTGGGTTTATCCCCCCTCTGCCTCAACTGAGGCATCGGAACCAAAATAAAGATATTATTCCTCTATCAACCCACCCCCCATCACCAAATAAAGTGTGTCGCAGAAGGTGACTAAATAGGGTGTTTTCTTCCAATTGGAAGTGCATCTACCTGACAGGCAAGGAACCAACAATCTGCATATAAATAAGGCAGATCAGTAAAAATCAAGTACTGGAACAAGACCAAAGTACTGGAGTGGACAAACAGCCAGAACCTTGTGCTAGAGTTTAAAGCTGGTGAACATGAAGAAGAAGAATACACCCATTGTGTACAGGCACCAATTATGAATCAGGGATAAGATTACTGACTTTAAAAAAATAAAGGACTAATGTCTTGGTAGACAAAAGAACTAGTCACTCTGCCACCTGTATACTTATCCCTTCATCCAGTAATTTGTTTTTTATATCACTGAAATTGCTGGAAGCAGTGACAATAAAAATGAACAATCCCTTATTGTGCAAACAAAAAGAGCATATCAGAATGTCAAATTGCCATTTTAACCATGCGGCTATTTTGAACTTCAGGTGGTATATACTTAGGTAACTTTTCAGTTTTGTAGCTGGTGAATTATAGTGAAATATAACTGGCAATAAACAGTGCTTTGTATTGACTGTGTCTGCATTACTTAAGATAATGTTTTGTTTTGTTTAGAATCTTATTGTGTTAGGCCCATTTACAGCATAGCTATGATGGTTATACATCTTTGCCAATACATCCAATATTTCTGGGCATTTGTCAGCCGGGTCAGTCTCTCTTTACCTCTGTACTTTTAAAATAAAAGTTTAATATATAAATTTTAAAACATCTGGTCAACTTACAACTTTTGTTTCTTTAAGATGACAAGTTCCTCCACTTCCTTTCCACCTGACACTTTCACCTTTGTCTCCAGCTGTTTACCTGCCAGCTTTTTCTTACGCTGACAGAAAAGCATACAGAAAACAGTTGAGAATTTCATTAAATACATATGATGGAAAGAATGGTCCTGAAATTCCTTGAGGAAGACTTCAACAAGACTTTTGTCACTAGCCACACTCACCATAACCATGGGCTGTGATTCCCATACTTTTCTATAGCACAATATAGCACCAACATATGGAAAGTTATTTGTGTGGCTAATACAGAAGTGTAGACAGAGTAAAATAAGGCAAAGATTCTTTTTTCCTCACCTTTGATGCTTCGAGTATACAGTACAAGTGCTCTATTTAATGCATCAATCAAAATGTTGCGTTATTTTATGTGCTAATCAGAACTGTGACTTATCATTCATAAATGTGACTTATTTTATGCACCAATTAGAACTGACTTATTTCATGCACCAATCAGAAATGTGACTTATTTTATGCACCAATCAGGACTATGACTTATTTTATGCACCAATCAGAACTGTGACTTATTTTATGCACCAATCAGGACTGTGACTTATTTTATGCACCAATCAGAACTGTGACTTATTTTATGCACCAATCAGAGCTGTGACTTGCATTTATGCACCAATTTGAGCTGTGACTTATTTTATGCACCAATCAGAACTGTGACTTATTTTATACATCAATCAGAGCTGTCACTTATTTATGCACCAATCAGAATTTTGTCTTATTTAATGCATCAATTAGAACTGTGCCCTTTTTTTTTCACCACAGAACTTGAGAGATTATATAGTCAAAATTGCACCCACTACCTTTACTTCTCAGGAAATTTCCAGTGTGGACTTGACACTATCTTGAAAATGGTTTTTCCCCCCCAATGTTTATAACCCATTGTTCAGCTGTGAGCACGTCTATCAGAGATCTCTGGGGGTTGTGTCTGAACTGGGAGTTAAATGTTATGTGGGACATTCTGTGAACAGGTACGAAGCCACAGGGAATAAAGCTTCTTTGCTACCATGACTCTTCATGATTAATGTTCTATATTTTTTAGTTGTTTAAATACCTTCAAAGAATTGAATTTCTTTGCCAATGCTGGTCCAATTTCGTCTTCAGCATCAGAATCCAGAACATTCTACAGAAATGAGAAAACCTGACATTAATTATCAAAAATATAACTGAATGATTAAATGAATGATTTATAAACTGACATCAATGTACTCAAAACATTCCCATGTATGCTCTGCCCAAAGAATTTTTCCAAAGATTCTTCTGTAAAACCACATTTGAGGCCTCAGAAAATTGTTTGACTTATTTATTCATTGTCCAGGATTCACAGCCATATGTTGTAAAACTGGTTTTCTCTCTCTCTCTCTCTCTCTCTCTGCATGTGGGTGCACACGATTGCGAGCACAGGTGTGTGTATGTTGGCTCTATAAATGGTAGTATCTATATCTTTATCCTTTCTTTGTCATTACTGATAAATAAGGTATTAAAAAACAATCCCCCCCCCCCCCCCCACCCATGCCAGTCTGCCACTTTTCTGCCTATTGTATCCTTTGTCAACCAAAGAAAAACCCCTCTGGTCAACATTTACGACATGATCAGTGGGGGCAGTGGGTGTGTTATTGTTTTCTTCCCCCAAAACCCAAAAATGGGTCCCAAAATCCAAACAGGCAATTAATCAATACAATATCCACTCCGTGTGGGTTCCGGGGCCCTATTATAGGGAAAACAAGAATAGACCCGCTGCCTACCCGAAAGCATGTTGTAAGGCTCAACTAATTGGGAGCTTCCTTCAGAGTCCATCTGCCTCGGAGGCAAGGAACCAACAGTCTGCATACAAATTAGTCAGATCCAAAAGCATGTTGTAAGACTCGACTAATTGGGAGCTTCCTTCAAAGTGCATCTGCCTCGGAGGCAAGGAACCGATAGTCTGCATACAAATTAGTCAGATCTGTCAAACAAATTCACACGCAACACCCAGGTTCTGGAACAGGACTGCAGTCCAGAAGTGGACGAGCAACTAGAACTTTCCACCGGAGTTTACAGCCGGTGAATGCAAAGAAGAAGAATATACACAATCCAGTTATCTGCAGAGCCTTTACAGGACACTGAGATCTAACCCCACTATGTTTGTGGCTTGACGAGCAATTGTACGTTCAGTCATTTCCCATTGGAAACTGCAGTGGAGTATCGGCTAGACTTTCAGCCTAAAGGTCTTGAGTGTGAATCTGCACCAATTTTGTTTTAATGGTCTTGGCTGATAGGTCACCCAAACAAAAAAATGGGGAACATGGAAAAGTCCTGGGAACTAAAGTTAGTCAGCATAATTCTGACCACTTTACCCATTAAGTACCAACTGGTCTTTAGAAATCAAAATGTATCATCTTATGTCTGATAACATCACTGGCGTAAGGATGGTCCTTTGCCCCCCCCCCCAAATTTTTTTGGGGTTAAATACTTAGATTTTTCATTGCGTTCTAAATGGTTCAGCAACTGCAGAAACCAGTGCAAAGCTGTCTGCTGCCACATCGCCTTAGACTAAATGTAATCTTATATGTCAGAATTTAAAAAAAAAATTTCAACAAAATAACTCTGAATTTTCTGGACAGCAAAAAAAAAAGAGCAACCCAGATGTTGTGGAAGAGGTTAGAGCTCAAAGAAAACTTATCACAAGCATCAGAAAATGAAAGTCATAATTATCTGGGGTTATGAGATGAAGGAAACTCGAACATGTTGTCACCTCTAGAAAGTTCTGTGGGAAAAGAAACAGAGGAATACAACGCAAGAAAATTCTTAGCAGCCTTTGTCATGGCATGGAGGGGTGTCAGCACATCAACTGATACAGGCAGCTGAAGATCGCAGATTGTGGAGAGACATGATCATCAATACGAGTCAGCAAGGCACTTGATGAGGATGATATTAGAAAGTTGTTTATAAAACATAATCCACAGATGGCGTCACACGCAATCATGCTCACTGCAAATCAAATCATTCAGTTCATAAGTGTTAGGATTCCATGCGCTATAATGCATTTAAATTCATATATCTTCCTGTCAATATGGGCAGTTTACTGATTCGACCGTGGCAAGCTTTTGCATATTGACAATACTTGGCCATTGCATTTTCCTCTGTAGACTGAAAAAATATAGTTTTGTTGGCTTGCTACTGAGTGCATGGCCTGGCATTGTGAGCTGCGGATTTCAGTTAGATCCTTTTGACTGTGCGCAATGTGGCGTGTGTTGTAGACTGTAGATCAGAAAATAGAGAATGGCCTGTTGCCATAGAACTGGTGGTGTCTTATGTATTCAAACATAGTGCAACTTTGATCTGATGTAACTGCTTCTATCCACTGACAATAAACCGCATTTCTAGTGTCAGACTTTTTGAGTTGGCACTGATTATGGCTGCCTTATGCATTTAATGTTTTACATTTCATATCCTGACTGAATGCTACTTAGTCATGGACCATATAAGCAATAAAATTCCACCTTTATTCTTTCTTTTAAAAAAAAAATTCAAACTCCACTTACCATTTTCTTTTTGTGTTTGGTCTTTCTTATGTCTGACGAGTCCTCATGGAGATACCTAAAGTCCAGCCTTCCCTGATTGATGTAGAAACCGCCATGCTGTGTTGTCATGGTTGAGGGAATTACCTCGTCATACTGTGGATTAAGATGTGAGATAAACAGTAACAACATCACAGTGTTAAATGTAACAAACAACAATAGAAAATAACATCCCACTGGTAAATATGACATGTCATAAAGGGAATTAACTGGGGACTGTTCTGAGAACCCACAAAAAGTCAAGCTAAAAGAAATCAATAAAAGCATTAATTGTCATTTCTTTTTTCTTTTTATTCTAAGCGTTCACAAGCTGTTAACTCCAGCAGAAAGTTCTGGTTGTTCATCCACTCCTGAACTTTGGTCTTCATCCAGAACTAAACTTTTGCATGCAAATCCATTTTACTTATTTGGCTTATTTGTTAACTGAAGCACTCCTAATGAGCCTTCATATAGTATCAATTATCATCCCGTCATGGGATGCAATTTTTGGTTATTTTGAGGTCTCACCCTGGCTTTTGCCGGGGGCTCTAAATATAGCAGGGCTTTAAATATGGCCTAACGGCTGAAAGGGGCTTATGGGACCTCTCCACGGGTGATTCTCATCCGCATGGTGGCATTTTGTGTCATCAGGTGTTTATCGCTTGTGTGATGTCCTGGTGGGGTACAACTTACCTACCTAATGAGTCCCCAGCTATGACATGCTTTCAAAATGCTTATGCCACAGATACCAACATAAAGGAAAAAAGACAGAGCAAAAAAACCAAACACAGGAGAAAATAAAAGAATGATTAGAAAATATGGGAAGGACATGAGGTGTGCTGCATGCAATGATAAAGAAGATAATTTGGTATGAAATGCAAACAAACTATGAGTTTCCTAAAAACAACTAATGTAAGCAGTCCCTGAACCCTCTCCTTTAACCAGCCCAGCTAGGCAGGGAGATCTATCTTTCAGGTTGAGATGCATCGGTTTTGATTCTCTACGTGAACCCAAAAAAATGCCAATTCTAATGAGAAACAGAAAGTGAGCTTCACAACATCACACTCACAAATAATAAACTAATTACAAGCAAATAAGCCTTCATCAGCATAAGACACAAACAGACAATGTTCTAGTTGTAAACAAGAACACATAGAAATGCTCAGCTTCACGGTGAGGCCTCCTACAAAATCTCCATCCAAGGTTGAAAAGAAGAGTCTCTATGTCATGTGTTATCATTCCCCGTGTGGGTTCTGGAGCCCATTGTGAGAGAAACAAGAATAGACCCACTCACTGCTTACACACACAAAAAGCATGTTGTAAGAGCCTACTATGTAGCAGCTTCCTCTGAAGTCAGAGGGCATTTGCTGGAGCGACAAGGAACAACCAACTGCACACAAATAAGCAAGTAAAAGAGATGTACATGCACAACTTAGGCCCTAGCACAAAGCCAAGTCCAGACGGACAAACTACCAGAATTTTCTGTCGGAGCTAACAGCCGGTGAACAAAGAAGAAGGTGAACTAAGAAGAAGGTGAACAAAGAAGAAGGTGAACAAAGAAGAAGGTGAACAAAGAAGAAGGTGAACAAAGAAGAAGAGGATTATGTGTCATAATTAGAGTAAGGTACCTGACAGGGTCCCACTCAGAAAAGGGGTGCTAGTAAGCAGGATGAGAGGTTATGGCAAGTTATGTAACTTGAAATAGATGAAAATGTGCTGGGCATCAAAGCCTTAAAGAGAGAGAGAACAAAACCGATAGATAAGACAATTCCTATGAGATGCAAACTGTTTTAGATTTACTGCTTGCATGTGAGATCTGACTTCTTTACACATAATCTTAGATGAGGCTACAGACATATGAAGTTTTTTCATGTACGAACTTACGGCCTCAGTATTGTCAATGAAAGGATCATCCTCATCATATCCATCTCCAGGATCGTAGTAGTCGTCCATCTCCTGCGTTCTGGCCTTCTTACCAGACTGAAGTCCTTTAGGGCCCTGCAGTCCCATGAAAGAAACAAGATACAAATGTAATAACCCTGAGACAACATCAAACAAACTGATATATCTATTACTAGATTATTTTCTTCTCATCCTTTCCCCACTTCTTCTCCATCTTCTCTTATTTTATTTGTTGTTTGTGAACAGTATATGCAACAAACATTCAGTCAATAATGAAGCAAACAGGGGCTTTGGAGCCGAAACACTAAAGAAAGATACTCAGTATAGCATGGACCAAGAAGAGAAGAAATACATAAATCCTAGAAGTTCTGAACATCAAGGAGGACTGGCTGGTAAACAGCATCTTGTCTCAAAAACTGAAATATTTTGGCCATATTGGACATCACACTGAATAAGAAAGAATAGTAGCAGAAAGCATGGTATCAGGAAAGAGAAGCAAGTGCTGATCATGAAGATGGACACAAGATACAAATGATACCTTGAATAAGAAAGTGCATGAGCTGGGAGAGCTGGTGAGGGACAAACAGCCAAAACTTACATATTTGGCTTCAAATCTCTGTGCAATAGCTGCCACCTCCCTGGCATCCTCAAAAGGTTCTCCAATTGTTGACTGAGCCTCATA